ACCTCGCTCACGTTAATCATTAATAGGGCCCAGGGTCTATTCCAGAATCATTTCATCCAATTCCGTTCATCCGATATGTTGCATTTATTTATTCTTTTATACTATACTATCCGACCCTCGCACCTTTGCTGCGTCTCTCAAAAGGTAAAATTATTTGCCGTTTTTGAAACAGGTTTAGTTAATGCTCCGCTCCTATATGCCGTAGCGTGATGTTATATAGCCTACAGCTTCAATAAATGGGCTATTCAATACTAAAATATTTTTTTCCAATTTGAATAAGAATTTTCTGAGATTAGCGCGTTCAACCGAGCAATCAAACTCTAGCTTTTAATATTAGTACTCGTATAGATTGTAGATTGTATCCTATGCGGGCAGCACAGGACCGGTTATTTGCTAACCTTGGGGGAGTTCTAGGTTTATCTATAGCAGAGGACGTAAGGGCAGAGCCATGTGTATTTATAAAAGATAAACAAATAAAACAAATAAATAATTTTAATCCGAACCAATGTTTTAAATTCATTATAAACCTCCTGTCTAAGGAGAGGCCTATGTCTAACAGTGGACTATGAAAGGCTGTTGATGATTGATGATGATAATAAAAGTAACGATGGCTGTCTTGATTGTACTATTTTTATGATTTTTACCTAATGGGTTGTATTTAAGTTTGTTAAACTAAAAAAAGTTGCATAAACTGATTTAAATAATGGGAAAACTAACATGCAATATATATGTACATGGTAATAAAATACACGCACATAATTATAAAGTACGCCTACATGATAATGTGGATGTCTGATGGCAGTCGCTTTACGTAAAAAATCGAAGTTCAGCCACGTCGTAGTTGCCTGAGAGCAGATCCCAACCTAGTTTGGGAAAAGGCTGAGAGGATGAGGACAAATAATGTAATAATTAAAAGAAAGTATCACCGAATTCAAATCGCCTACAATAACTCATTATTATTGAAAGAATCATCCCCTAACTTCTAAAACCCAATAACCCTTCTATCATCAGCTCAGCTACGCAAAAATATACGTACGGAATAATAAACGACTGCTTTCTGTTGCAACTAAGAGTCACAAGTTTCTGGCCGCTCTTTGAGTGTTTATCGCAGAAACAGAAGGAATCGGTAAATAGCAACGAAAAACATTTTAACACCCATTTTTGCCAAAACATGACTCGCCCACTAAAGATAGACAAATACTGGCTTGATCGGTAGATCAAGAAATTAACAAGTTAAGGAGGTCGGCGTGCTCAACAGATTAAGTTGCAATCAGTCATTGGCTGCGGTGGTCAATTTCCATCATGTGACCCGTCTGATTTTGGCACTATATAAAAAATCAATAGTTGGAACAAAACCGCAACGGCTTCGAAAATACTTCAAATAAATCTTCAGAACTAAGAAAAATCAATAATAAAACCTTATACGTGGAAATTCGATAAACAGTTAAGGCTAAGTCTTGCCGAGGAATCACAATAACCGAGGAGCAACAGAAGAACCTTTCTAAGGCCTCCGTCTATGTCCAAACTATGAGAGGCTGTTGGTGATGGTGAGGAGTAAAATATGTTTGAAAATCACTATATTTTAAGTAAATGTAAAACACAATTTTCCCGTTTTTAAAGCGATGTTTGTAATATGATTACTGAAATGGATGAAACATGTAATAATTACTAAATAATAATGATACCCTTATTTGTCAGAATATGGGTATACAGAGTAGTTAGTAGGTAAATTTTAGATGCAAACCATGTTCTACCATTGCCAAATTTTATAAGATTGAATTTATATAAAAAAAAACTAGGTACCAAACTATCTAGGTAGGTAGAACTAAACGGTGAGTGGTCTCTAAGGAGATTTATTTTATAGAAGCATTTCATTTTATAATCACTATGTCACAATTGTAATCGTCAAAAATGTAGAAGAGGTAAGGATACTGTGGAAACCTTTGTCTATGAACGTATATTCCTTAAGACTATTTGGTAACTTGTTATAAATATGTATAGTCATACAGTATACATTCTTACCAAACATACTTAGTCTTTTTCTGGGTATAGGATCGCGTGTGTAGCTGACCGAGTGGTAAATTAACGAAAATAAATGAAATTAAGAGTCAACGAAATTCCGATATATTTTACACTACACAAATAGTACACAGTAACAGTCTACATAAGAAACACGTAAGAACGACACATATACAATAGGTACAGAAGGTGAGAAAATACTAGTTTATAGAAAATATACGAAAGATAACAATTTACGGTAAGGGCGGTAGCTAAAGGCATCGAGTGCAATTCACGACTGGCTAGCGGCGGGAGCCGAAGGAATGGAATGTGTTCTCGCTCGGTTCGTGGCCGCGCCGCCGCCGCTGTGACGTAGCACTCGATGCAATAGATATAAACAATATATTTAACCCTGTCGGTTTGTCCGACAACTATATAATTTATATATAACAATATTGTTCGAAGTATGAAAATAGATATATGTAATAACGACATTAACAAAATGAAATAATTAAATTAATAAAAAGTATTTACGAGTATAAACTAACATAGTTACAATGCACAAAAATGTTTACACATTAAATAAGTACATAAATAAGTAGGGTCCGCTACATCACCCCCCCCTTGAGACCGTCCTACGGGCGATAATAGTCAGGAAAGTGTACTTTGCGCCCTGACCGCGTCCTTCTAACATTAAGTTCCTCAGGATCAGATTGACTGGGAGTCTGGGATGAGTTATGTAGTAGCGGTGTGTATGATGTATGTTGGTTTGTGTCTGAATTTAAATGTGTATTTCTGGTGTGTGAGTCATGCAATATGTAGGCTGGTTTAATACGGTCTACTGATACTGTGACTTTTTTACCGTTCATAAGAATAGTTAACACTTTATCGTTCCTTTGAAGTACCTCGTAGGGGCCTGTATATGCAGGTTTAAGGGACCCGCGGTTTATTTCTTCCCTAAGTAAGATGTGGGATGCTGTGGCAAGATCTTTAGAAACGAACACTGTTCGATTCCCGTGTCGTGATGCTGGTAATGGCTGTAATTGCCTAGCAAACATACGAATTCGTGACAGGTAGTCGGTCACGTCATTAAATTCGCTTCCTTGGGACTCTAAAAACTCTCCAGGTAATCTAAGGGTCTCCCCGTAAACAAGCTCGGCTGGAGAAGCTTTAATGTCTTCCTTATAAGCACTCCGTATACCAAGAAGTACTAGTGGGAGAGATTCAACCCAGTTATCAGTGCCGTGACATGTAATTGCGGCCTTCAACTGCCTGTGGAATCTTTCTACCATACCGTTACAGGCTGGGTGGTAGGCTGTGGTACGCTTGTGTTTAAAGCCGATTAATTCTGATAGACGTTTAAACAAAGCTGATTCGAATTGTGCACCCCGATCGGTGACGATATCCACGGGACATCCAAAACGAGCTATCCATCCATATAGTAAGGCATTGACCACAGTCTCAGCGGTGATATCACGTATTGGTATAGCCTCTGACCAACGTGTGAATCTATCAACAGCTGTGAGACAATACCTATATCCATGAGACATAGGCAATGGACCTACCAAATCTATATGGATGTGCGCGAACCTTGCTCGTGGTAATTTATATGTGCCGACCGGTGATGAGGTATGCCGAGAGACTTTGGACCTTTGACAAGCTAGACATGCCTGTGTCCATGTTCTGCAGTCCTTCCTAATACCCGGCTATTCAGCAACAAGTTTGGCAGTTGCTTTAGTACCTGGGTGGCTAAAGGAATGCAGACTCTCGAAGACTCGATGACGAAGTTCCTGTGGGACGTATGGTCGGGGGTTGTTGGTACTCACGTCACAGAACAGTTCAGTATCCAGTGTTCCCGGAACTCTAACCTTTTTTAAGCACAATGATGTGTTACGTACCAGTAGTCTGCTTAACTCCGTGTCGGAGTCTTGATGCTTTGCCAACTGTTCTAAGTCTACTGGTATAGCAATTTCCTTTATCTTGGATAAGGTATCTGCGACAACATTGTCCTTACCAGATATGTGCCTAATGTCAGTGGTAAATTGGGATATAAAATCTAGATGCCTGAATTGTCTGGGCGAGCAGTTCTCCTTACGGGAGTGAAATGCGTAGCACAGAGGTTTATGGTCAGTAAATACTACAAAGTCCCTTGCCTCAACCATATGTCGAAAATATTTTATTGCCTCATAAATGGCTAATAGTTCACGATCATAGGGTGAGTACTTACACTGTGAAGGACTTAGCTTCCGGGAAAAGAAAGCAAGAGGTTGCCATACGCCATCACCTCGCTGCTGTTGTAGTGCTGCGCCTAATGCCGTGTCTGAGGCGTCAGTTACTATGGCCAACTTGTATTGGCTATTCGGGTGTGCTAACAAGGTAGCATTACATAGGCTTGTCTTGCAAGCCCTGAAAGCTTCATGCTCGTCCTCGGTGAATGTAACAGGGTGGGAACCCTTTACAGAACCTTCCAGTAGTACATTCAGAGGCGCTTGTTGCTGTGCAGCGTCAGGAATGAAGCGCCTGTAGAAATTAAGCATTCCTAAGAATCGCCTTAATTGCTTCACAGTCTTTGGGGCTGGGAAGTCCTGGATGGCCTGGACCTTGGCTGGGAGCGGCATAGTGCCTTTGGCTGATATGCGATAACCTAAGAATGTTACCTCTGAAGCACCGAAAACACACTTAGATGTGTTGATGACCATGCCGTACTCCTTCAGCCTGGTGAATACCTCTCGTAAGTGACGTTTATGGGTTTCCTCATCCTGTGAAAATACTAAAAAATCGTCCAAATATGGGTAGCAATAGTCCAGCCCGCGAAGCATCTCATCTACAAAACGCTGGAAAGTCTGTGCGGCATTACGAAGACCAAAGGTCATGTACTGGAATTCGTAGAGGCCAAATGGTGTTGCGATGGCGGTCTTCGGAATATCCTCAGGGTTGAGTCTTATCTGATTGTACGCTCTAACCAGGTCTATGGTAGAGAAGACCTTACATCCCGAAAGACCATGCGCGAAGTCCTGGATGTGGCGAATAGGGTACTTATCTGGGATGGTCCTAGCATTAAGCATCCTATAGTCCCCACAGGGACGCCATCCGCACTCCTTTTTAGGAGCCAGATGAAGTGGAGAAGACCACGGTGAGTCGGAAGGTCTGGCTATACCCAGCTGTAACATAGTGGTAAACTCCTCTTTAGCGATCTTTAATTTATCAGGAGCCAGCCTACGTGGTTTACATGATACAGGCGGTCCGGGTGTAGTACGTATGTAGTGTACTGTATTGTGTTTAGGTGTTGAGTGTGTGCCAGATGGGCGAGTGATGTCGGGAAATTCCATTAGTAAACTATGATAAACAGACTCACCAGTGACAACCTTAACCGAAGAAATAATGTCACAAGGATAGACAGGCAAAGCCACGGTCGCGAGGCTTGTGTTGTTATCCACTAATTTCTGATTCCTGCAATCAACAACCAAGTTAAAGTGAGACAAAAAATCTACGCCTATTATCGCCTTGGTGACGTCTGCAATTACGAAACGCCAGGGAAAGTCACGGCGCAACCCGAGATTTAATAATAGATTTATATAACCATAAGTCTGTATTCTACTGCCATTAGCCGCACACAATTCATAATTTGTTTTATTTAGTTTTTGATTTAACATTTTAATTGGAAAAACACATAAGTCACTACCAGTGTCAATTAAAAATTGTACCTTCGTTTTCACATCCGTAACGAACAGGCGACCGGTAGTCGGACGGTCGTTTGTCGCCATTACCGACCGCCCGCGTCGTTTCCCGAGTAGTCGCAGGGTTTAACACAACATTTCGCTTTACCCCCAAATTTGGTATGATACCAACACAGGGGATGGTTGCGGTAATTAGATGCCGACCTTGTGGAATGAGATCGACGGCGATGACGGCTACTGGAACGGTTTTTATCTCGTCCTTGTCGTGTTGCTCGTGATCTCCTGACCTCAGTTGAAAGCGTTCTAACCTGTTCAGTGAGCGCTGCTATTTGTCGCTCCATTGTGGCTACTAAGCTGTCTGGTGGTGTGTGGGAGGTGGAGGCTACGTGTTGGTAGGATGGGACCACATCGTGTATGCGGTCTGCCAGGTCTGCCAACTCCTCCAAAGATGCTTTCAGCTGCGATGCAATGATTGTTTGCGTCCCTTGCGGTAGCCGACTCGACCAAATGGTTTTTAAAAAATCTTCCGGTACACCGGGGCCAGCTAAATTTTGCAAGTGTCGTAAAAATTGCGACGGCTTTCTATCCCCAAGCTCCTCATGGGTAAGCAGCTGCTTCACCTTCCTTTCACGACTTGCTGAGAGTCGCTTGATCAGCTCCGCTTTCAGCTTATCGTATCTTCCGCTTGTAGGCGGTGAGGTAATAATATCTTCTACCTCCGCCGCATATTGTGGCTCCAGTTGGGCGATGGTATAGTAGAACCTGGTCGTATCACTCGATATGTTCGACAGGACGAACTGTCCTTCCAGCTGAGCGAACCACAACGCTGGTTTCTCTGGGTAAAATGGTGGTACCCGCACGCCTACGCGGCATGACTCCGCGTACTCCTGTTCTTCTTTCGGCATTTTTTTTGTAGTATTCTTCCTCGTGTACAGTTCGGGGTCACCAGTTATAGGATCGCGTGTGTAGCTGACCGAGTGGTAAATTAACGAAAATAAATGAAATTAAGAGTCAACGAAATTCCGATATATTTTACACTACACAAATAGTACACAGTAACAGTCTACATAAGAAACACGTAAGAACGACACATATACAATAGGTACAGAAGGTGAGAAAATACTAGTTTATAGAAAATATACGAAAGATAACAATTTACGGTAAGGGCGGTAGCTAAAGGCATCGAGTGCAATTCACGACTGGCTAGCGGCGGGAGCCGAAGGAATGGAATGTGTTCTCGCTCGGTTCGTGGCCGCGCCGCCGCCGCTGTGACGTAGCACTCGATGCAATAGATATAAACAATATATTTAACCCCTGTCGGTTTGTCCGACAACTATATAATTTATATATAACAATATTGTTCGAAGTATGAAAATAAATATATGTAATAACGACATTAACAAAATGAAATAATTAAATTAATAAAAAGTATTTACGAGTATAAACTAACATAGTTACAATGCACAAAAATGTTTACACATTAAATAAGTACATAAATAAGTAGGGTCCGCTACACTGGGTATTAAGAGTTTGTGTATTCCTGCCAGAAAACAGATTTCATAAATATAAAGACTAGGTAGTGGTAATATGTTATATTTTATGAATATTGTATTTCATAGGTGAACTGTTCAAAAACTCAAACTGTAAAAAAAGGTTTTCTGCTCGCAGAAGGCTTCCATTCGCTTTCCGGACGTTCAGAAGACACGCTCAACACTGTGCTGCCCAAGGCTGTAGACTTGGAAGAAGCAGACAGGGAGACCACCAATCTTTTAGTGTTTTTACTGATGCAGTTCTTATCCAGGTAATAACTACAAATTCTTATAACCGATCACATTTTGTCAGAAAGTTCTATTTACTAGAAATATAACAGAAATCATAATTGTTGCTCTGTTCTGTTTCGAAGTACTCCGATAAGCAGTGGGTCCTTCGAAACAGAAAGTCGAAGGAACACACTGTGGAGTTCATCTTTGAATACACTACAGGCCATACAGAAACAGGCAACCACATATCATATTTTTATTAATTTTTATTGCATTAAATATCAAATATTGGTTTGCTTAGGTCTGACCAAGCCCACCCAACTGAAGATAAGACGACTTCAAAAACTCAAGAGCTGGTTCTCAAACACCTCTTCCTGCTGTTGGGTTACAACTACGTGGAGAAATGTTTTCATATATCACCATATACGCTCAGGTTAGTAATGTATAATATAGGAATACTAGTTCTTGCCCACGACTACGTCCGCGTGGAATTAGTAAGTATATATAATAGCTTATTAATAATTATATAGCTTATAAGATAGTTTATAATAATAGAGATGGCTTATATTTTATCCGAGCTTATTTTTCATTAATCCGCAATTAGTGGTTTTGATTTAAAAACATAATGTACAACCAGAATTAAATTAGACAGCTCAATGAATGATTTGTAACTGCGAGATAATATTTAACACATTTCTGTAAACTAACTTTTTTTGTTCGCCCGTCCTTTGCTAACACTTGAACATCTTCTGGACTCGAGCCTCGTTTCCTAACTACATGTAACAGTGGCTTTACTAAAGTTTGTAACCTATAAAATTGGAGTAGCATTTTTTAAATCTTAGGAAAAGTAAAAGAAAATTGAGTTTTATTACTTACTTAAGGACTTATTAATTTTAAAATTTTTACTCTTACACTTCCACTCCTCTTTTCACCCTCTAAGTGAATGACGAATCGGTCAAAAATGCATTAACATTCTTTATTCCTAACGAGAAGTTACATTATATAAGTCTTGTAGTCCCTTTCCAATTTTCTCCTCCCCTTTTTACACTCTTAAAAGATGATTTCGGGGATAAAAACTATCCTTGTCCTTTTCCAGGAATCAAACTATCTCTATACCAAATTCCATCTAAATCAGTACAGCGGTTTAAACGTGAGGAGGACAGACGGACTTTTTCGCATTTATAATACCAATATGGATTCTAGGTCATTCATATTATTGTCACCAATATTTTTAAGCCATACCCAATATTTTCGCAATATTGCTATATTCTGACAACTGTAACAGAATCTGATATAATGTTTCTGCCATGGCAGTCCTTTAGTTTTCGGGCTCTTAGCTTTTCCTACCATTTTTTTTTTAACTTATGGCATAGGAGACGGTCACTTGATGGTAAGTGACTACCGCCGCCTATTTTACACCTGAAAATATTAGCAAACTTAGTGTAATGGTCATATCATTATTGTTTTGATAGACAATCGTCAATATTCAACGCGTTCATGGCGAATCTACCACAAGTGCTGGACCAGAATCACGTGATGGGTGCCAGTATCGCTGAACCTACGCTATTACTGCTACAGGTAAAGTAGAATGTTAATTAGATCTTGGAACGGATTAGTTGTCTGATAAGGGAATATTTAGTGTTAGAGGACTTTGTAGTTATCTAATACAATTATTATATCATACGGCTAAGTATACGGATTTCGTAGTGGTCGCCTTACCGCTTTCTACTAAGTAGAGTATTGTGGGTCCCCACATGGGACAACACTTTGTGTGATCCAATTTTTGAGACACGATTTCTGCTACATTTTAAGATATTAAGTATGAAATATACTTACAAACATTTTCGTATACATTATTTCATTATATACGATTATTATAATACTGCGCTACTTTAAAATATCGTACATTAACTACAACACTAATTTATTATAATTGGTTGTTATAAACATTGCAATATTGATTGCACGGATGGTGTAGTGGTTTAAGTGGTCACTTCGCCGCTTCCTACTGCGATGAGTGTTGTGGGTTCGATACCCACATGGGATAACACTTTGTGTGATCCACAAATTGTTGTTCCGAGTCTGGGTGTTTTTTGTGTCCGTTTCATGTGTGATTGTAAAGTACCCTGCGACACAGGATTTATTTCTGGTGAGGGAGTTGTCTTTAAAAATAATAATTAAATTAATAAATTAGTAGTTGTGGATTATTTTTTGGTTTCTAAAATAGCAACACTTTACGCAATCGTGCATTTTGTGCGTTGGTCCTTTAATATAAAAAAATTCAATAGTGTTTTGGAACCTTTCAGTAGGGGAAAATGTATACTATAAGTTGTGTTAGTGCAATGTTGAATGAGGAGTGTGTACACAGTGCTGCTGCGGCGCGGGCAGCAGGGCGTGCGGCGCGGGCAGCGTGCACTCGCTCGGCGCGCTCGAGCCGCACGTGCGCCGCCACTGGCTCATGGCCTTGCTCGTCGTCTCGTACAAGGTGAGCCGACCTCACGCTCCTTATATACTCGCTCACCTAGGGGTGCGTCATGGGCTGTTGGTTGCTTCGGTTTTTTTTATTTGCTCAAGGCGTTATACAGTGCACGTATATACAATATTCACGTTTAATCCCAGAAGTGTTGTATGATAGCGGTTTAGCATATCGTCAACGAGGCACTTGGAAGTTTTTAGATTTTGGAAATTAGGAGTGTTATAAGAACTACACCACCGTCTGCGTCCTGCTCGAGTTCTGGTGCAAGCTCGTGCCCAGCATCCTGCAGGTCACCGTCCAGTCCAAAGTGGTCAGTTTTTGCACTGAATACCGACACATCGCTCACGTTTACTCATACTAGACCGATATCAACACCTTCACTTTCATCTCTCGCTCCCTGTTTTACTTTGATATGATTCTTGTAAACTGTTGAGAAACGAGTGTTATAATTCTCCATCACAAAGCGAGATGTCTCCAACGAAGATCGTGTCATCATCACCAAAGTTGATGTTGAAAACTTGTATCACATAAAGTAATCGGCCGAAAACTTTCACACCACGATTTAGGATTAAAAGTTCTTCCTTAGTTCCGTATGTCTCACTAGATAGTAATGTAGGAATTATGTTTTTCATCACTCTTTTGAATAAAAGGTGAAATCAACAGTAAATTTCTATAGATTTTGAATATATTAGAATTCTTTTCGAACAGTATAACAAATACATATTTTGTTCCAGTTGGCCGAGACGGTGAATCTTCACTTCCTGAGTCTGTTGGAATCTTTGTTGGATTGTAACTCGACCGTGCTCAATAAACTGTTGCCGCTTTGGACACCCATACTACACTCGCCACTGTTTAGTGTAAGTGTTAAATGTTTGATTTGAGGGTCTCATCATCACATCAACAGTCTTTAATAGTCCACTGCTGGACAAAGACCTCTCTTTAGAAAGGAGGTTTTGGCCTGGCCAGACGGGTTCTTATAGGGTTTTTTTTTTTTTTTTTTTTTTTAATTGGGACTTATCCTACCCACACGCCCACCACTGTAACTCCTGTACACCAGGATCCACAGCAGTGACCCACGAACACACCGAGTTATGACACTCGGGAAGTCCCAGGAAGAAATTAAACTGTCTTGGAACCCGTAACGAAATTAATCAGAAGAAAATTGGAGGAGTTGGAAATACAGTAAATCCACTTCCCTCCTTAGCAAAGCGGGAGACAAAATGAAGTAAAATAGGCATACACCCTTTTAAACAGGGAAGCACCACGGCCACAAAATATTACGGGTCCTACATGAGCTATATTTGATTTCTATAATATGTATGGCAGAATCGCCTAAACGCACGGAAATTCACCCTAGTTGACACAAGATCCCCATAGTATACCGCCCCAGATGTCACCTGCAAGCTATTCAACATTATATTACGTTCATTATACCAAAGACTACATTCCCAGAGGATATGATGAGCAGATTCTTATAGGGTATGTGTCAAGTTTTCCTTCTCTTTGCAGTTCTGATTGTCCTTCGTTAGCTCTCTTAGTCGTTTCTTACGACACCACGTCACACGTCCACCACGGGAAAACGTCCGTTTAATGAGCTTGATCATTAACAGCCTTTACTAGTCTACTGCTGGATATAGGCCTCTCCTTAGAAAGGAGGGGTTGACCTATTAATGAGCTTGATATTTTTTTAAATATATTTTTTTAGGTATAAGCAAGTAATACTATATATTTAATATTAAAAACGATGACGTAATGTATATTGAACAATACTGTATAGCGAAATGTGTAATTGCAATTGGCACCCACAGGACAGGTTTGCTTAGTGTGGGGCCACCGACAACGTATCATATATTTGAACTGCTTCGGTGGTGCAGTGGTAGCGTATGCGACTGCCGTTCTGAGGTTTCGGGTCTTCGATTCCTAGATCGGACCAAATATTTGTATGATCTGCAAATATTAGTTTCGAAGTTTTTTTTATGTATAGTAGGTATGTGTTTACAAAAAAAAGTATTTTATCAGTAAATCTAGTTTTCATAGTACAAGCTCTGCTTAGTTTGAAACTAGATGGCGTTGTGTGTCAGATGTACGAAAAAAAGGTTGTCTTTTTTGGTAATAAATGATATTTTATATTATGATTGTTGAAGGTAGCAAAACGTTGAGCCTCGGTACCTGTGTCCAGATGCCGCGGCACGTGTCTGCGCGTCTGCCGCGCTGCGCTCTCTGAGCGCGGCGGGGGGTGCGGGGGAAGGCGCGGCCTCGCAGCGGCGCCTGCTCGCCAAATGGCGCAGCTCGAGCTGCAGCGCCACTCCTTCTACTTCATATAGACGCCGTGAGTACCTAGCTCTAGTTCCGCCCTGCGCCACGGCGTCACTTAAAACGATTCTACCACTGCAACGATCAACTGACGACTGTTTTATGTCATTGAAAATCATAACTTTTATACGGTAAAACATAAAGTAATGTTGAAACTAAAGTGTAGCAATCGAATATCTACAAAACATAATAGCTAATGCACAACATACGAGTAGTACTCAGTTAACAACATTAAATTGTATAAAGAAACAAAAATAAGCAAACCACAAACGATTATTACTGAAATGAACCTAAAAAAAATATCACACAGTGCTAAAAATATTTGAATGTGCCAAAATTGTACATTCCTATTGTCTATTTTTTTATTTAAAACACATTAGCACAATAAATTCATTCATTTAATTTATAAAATTACAACGAATACAAATAGTTAATATTAACAATGTATTAGTATGACCAAAGAGATCATACAAACCGTTTATAATTAAGAAACAAAAATAAATATAAAATATATATATTTACCGTTATATTAAATATATAACGACCCCACGTACATACGTAATTCTAACCTAAAAAGAATTCGAGATGCAAGCCAATTTGGTTTCATATTTTTAGAATAATAAGCTGTAAAGTAAAGAGGCTACGGTAGGAAATACAATACATAAGTTAAATGTTTTATTCTACTATAGTACGTAAGATACAAATACAATATTCCAACCAACTAACGTAACACAAAGTTGTAATTAAGTTTTTAATTTCTTCTATCTTACACGACTTGCAATCGCAGTCTAAGGTTCAGGTTAAACATTTTATAATTGACAATATTCCTTTGAGGCTGAAGGTAGGTTTTCAACGACAACTAAGAATTCTTGTACCTAGAAATATTTTTTAAAGAAGTGTCATCGGTATTCTACGGACTCCAGTCGCCAAAAAGGCCCAGAGGCAGAGGAGATAGGCAGTGCTCCTAAGAATTGTTCATATTTATACCAGCCTCTTTCCACCATTGTTCAACCGACAAACTTTCTTTCCACTCTGCATTTTTCAAGATACCTGTGGTACATATTATCGCCTGCGATAATTCCGAACCGATACGACTGTCCAAACCTTCGAGCATACTCCCACCTCAAAGATCAAAGTCCTTGAGCAGAGGTGCTCAGTTACCATCACAAGGTCTGTCTGCTCGTTCCCCCCCCCCCCCCCCCCCCATATCTTAAAAAAATATAGGGTCTTCATACTTAATGTTATACAGTAGGTAACAGGACCTCCATACTTCTTGAATGTTTAATATTACGCTGTTTTACTTTCTACAAAGCTTATGATCGGAGTACGTTCTCATCGATATCTGTATGACTTATAACCTTCAACCCGTGATAATCTTAGATCTTCCTTGGAAGTAGTACTCTCAGATTTTCCCAATTCAGTTCATAATAGTTCTTTTTCCCACCTTTTGACTAGCCTGGGCACTAGCCTCCTCTCAAAGTGAGAGGAGTGAATAGTATATTGGTAGTCCACGCAAGTCTAAAACTGGTTCATTGACACTTAACTTCTGTCTTTTACAAACAAGACATTCAAACCACATACAGCTAAGTCACATACGCAGACAGAAGCTCATTAAGCAAAGCTCGGTAAGACTACTGCCATCCAACAGGCACTTTGAAAATTTAATATGTGTGTACTAAAAGACGACATAGGAAAGAAATACGGAGGGATACTGTAACATAATAACTTGAGAAGATCAAGGTACGTACTTGTTACTTGATTTACATACTGTCGGGAAGTTCGAACCTTCCAGTTATCATATACAACTAAATTAGCTAACTTACCTTCCTGGGGTCTATTAATATATGAAAAATTAGTGGTGATCAAACTCAGCAAGGAAAAATGTCAACATGCTGGTAGAAATAACTACAGCAGGTACCCGAATACCACTTCTACTGAAATGGTTATTTTAAAATGACGAAGATTAAAACAAAAATCAGTTTGATTGCACGGTTTTCTACATTAGGAACTATTCATGGAAGCAGGTAGGGCAGCTAAGAGATCATTTTTAAAAAAAAACTTTATAACACCTATTCACTAACCCGGTATTATAAGGTACTACAACATATTATATACTAGTGCTATTACTAGTTGTACTTCATTGGAATACTTCTCTAGCTCAGAAATTCACAGTGGATATACGAAAAATAAGTCTGTTCTTATCTGTGGCTCACGCAGCAATGACTTATATGGGCCCAACTATATTGAACGTGATATAAGGCTCACAACTATGATTTAGTTCTAAGATACATCAAGAAACACTTGCTTTGACCAATATCACGGATGTTTGTCAATCTTCTGTTCGTTCAATAAAATGGTTTCCTTGAACGTTTTAGGTTAACTCAATAACTTCAGTTAAATACAGATGAGGCTCCTTATTTGTGACAGATTAACAACAACCTGTGTAAGAATCTAGCTTTTTGATTAAAAGATTTCGCGTCCTTATACAGCTGTTTCAAGTGTCACAAGAGCGACGCGATCGAAAGCTCCGTTCTGTATGGATGCTGATCTGTTTCTGTCACTGAATAATCCTAAAATCGAAGATAAATTCTCAAAATATACTTACAAACAAAGTATTTATTTATTACAAATATTATTCTATAGCCATTTTTTTAATTATTATAATGAAGCAATCAAGTATTACAGTAATTGGTAATCATGTACTTTTATTGATACCGTCAACGAAGCCGAAACTTGTTGTTCTAGGATTGTACTGAACAAAAACTGACCGTAGCCTTGAATAGGTAATTTCCGATATGTAATTTACAAAGAGATTTGTAAACAATCACTTAATAAATTTAGCATTACTACAACTCTCTTATGACAGCTGACTGACCGAATGACAACAATATTTAATACAACTGCTACCACCAACTAATTAATCGCTACCATTATAGAATGGAATCGTTGACCACAATCCAGGATGTCTCCAATAAATTTGGTGTAGGAATAAGATAATTATTGATAATTACCATTACTGCAAAAATTTCTCGAGACTAATTTCACTGTATATATATACAGTGAAATTAGTCTCGAGAAATTTTTGCATATGTAGTGGTGTGTATATTACTCAGATCTTAGAGCGCGTTTCCACTATATCGTTTTGGCCTATACAAAAATGTTTCGATATCCTAACATTACTATTTAATTTTATACTTATCCCTAGCAACACTCTGATTTTTGTTTTCAATAAAACAAATTTTTATTTTAAAGAAAAAGGTTTTGACTTTATAAAAAAAAAAGGTGTGTGTGCGATTCACACACGATAGAAGTGAAACTTCAAAGAGGAGAGACCGATATTTAAATTTTTTTCCTTTCATCTAGGTTTTTAAAACTCCGGGGGGTCTACGGGGGGGTCAATTTTTTTGTTATTTTTGGCCTAGGACGCACCGTTTCCGAGATATTTCAATCTAAAGCAAAAAATCGTCACTTGATAGTGGAAAGTGGAAACACGCACAAAACCAGAATAAACCAGTTTACGCTGTCCGCTACCATACACTACTACAAACGCAAAAATTTCTCCAAGCTAATTTACCTGTACATCCTTATATTGATATAAAAATAAAATAAAATAAAATAAGCCTTTATTACTGTTACTCTTTACAATGTTTTTCGGTATATCGGTAATCGCGTTATGTGTAGCAGCTTGTCTCTGGACAAAGGCCTCCTCCAAGGACTTCCATGCAGTTCGATCCCTAGCTATTCGGGTCCACTTAGCGACCGCCATTTCTCTGAAGTCATCTTCCCAACATTTACACTGTCTCTCTTTATTTATTTTGTCGCCAAAAAGTGGACAAAAATAATAACGGAGTGGTGTCCTAACACCACTCCGTTATTATTTTTGTCCACTTTTCTTTCGTATCCCGTAACATAACAACATTGATATAAAGATGTGTATATCAGTAATGGAAAAGTGCACAGTACTCTAAAAATCAGTAGTATATATAGTTAGGTATCCTAGAACTAGAATAAATATCGAACTAAAAATATTTAACATTAATTTACTTGTAAATTAAGAGAAAAATCTTTAGGTTTAATTACGAAAGGAGCTCTTTATAAAAAATAAAGAAAATATATGTAGGTAAGGTTAACTATAAACACATAGATTATAGGGAATAGGTTTTCCAAGTATAAATGAGAAAAAGTATAGAGGAAAAAATATTTAACATTAACTTACTTATAATTTAAGAGAAAAATCCTTAGGTTTAATTACGAAAGGAGCTTTTTATAAAAAATGAAGAAAATTACTAAAAAACATAATATAACACTCTATATGTAGGTAAGGTTAACTATAAATACATAGATTATAGGGACTAGGTTTTCCAAGTATAAATAGAAACAGTATAGTGGAAAAATATTTAACTTTAACTTACTTATAAATTAAGAGAAAAATCTTTAGGTTTAATTACGAAAGGAGTTTTTCCATAAAAAATAAAGAAAATATATGTAGGTATAGCTATATGTAGGTAAGGTTAACTATAAACACATAGATTATAGGGAATAGGTTTTCAAGTATAAATAGAAAAAGTATAGAGATAAAAATATTGAACATTAACTTACTTCTTAATTAAGCGAAAAATCTTTAGGTTTAATTCGAAATGAGCTTTTTTATAAAAAATACAAGAAATATATAATTCTGTAAATATATAAGTAAGGTTAACTAATAGTGAATAGGTAATCCAAGTACATCTAGAAAAACATAGAAGTAAGAATAACATTAACTTTACTTAACATTAACTTACTTATAAATTAAGAGAAAAATCTTTAGGTTTAATTACGAAAGGAGTTTTTCTATAAAAAATAAAGA